TTAGCAGAGAGAGGGGACAGGAAGGAGTAGGTACTAAGTCAGTTAGGAAAAGGTAACAAAACCTGAGAACAAGGTCTTTATCTCTCTAAGGTTAAACACATACTCTAGTACAGTATTACTTGATAACCTCAACCAAAGACAAGTCATTTAGAATGCTTGTATGAAGAGGGGACCTGGAAAGAGTATAGTGTCCAGAGTAAGAAGTATAAAGGAAAAGACTAAGAGAAAACCTGAAGAGATAAAAGGAAAATATTATACTTACTTAGGGAGAAACTACATAGTTAGCTAGGAATGCTTTGTACAAAGACAAAGGACTATTAAAGCTAGTAAAGAGCCAGAGCCAATACTCTGAAGCTCTATGCTTAAGGAGGACTAGTACTAGTGAAGGAAAGGGAACTGAGAGCTCTGAGAAGAGACTATAGGAAAGTAGTCTCCTTTATACACTTTGCCCATATAGATAGGAAAGTAATGAAGTTATAAACATGAGGACTACATAAGGACAACATGAGGAATACATGAGGCAATCTAGAACTTTGGTTGTAAGTTCTATGATTGAATACAGAAGCACAAAGATAAGGCTAGAAGTTAATAAGGATAATTGTCTCCTAAACTAAGTCTATTAAAGAAGACTTAGGGAAAGATCTAGAATATTGGTTGTCAGTTCTAGAGTGTACACAAGGCAGTCTAGAACTTTGGTTGTAAGTTCTAGGGGCAGTACAGAAGCACAGCCTTTTATATTACAAGAGTCATAAGGAGTCATTAGAAGTCATAATACTCTACCTTATGAGAAAGTGTATTACAAACCAGTGTACAGGAAGTACAGGTTGAGTCAGACAGAGTCATAGGAACAATAGAGAGCTCTACTTCATGAGAAAAGCATTACACAGCTTACACAGTATAACTAGTCAGGAGGACTCATAAGGAGTCATTAGAAGTATAAGAGGAAGTACAGAAGACATAACAATACAGTAAAGGAGTCATTAGAAGATTAATCTAGAATACAAGAAGACACAAACCAGTGTTAGCAGATTAATAGAAGACACAAACCAGTGTAGCATACAGTCTAAAGGATTAGCCAGCTCCACTTCATAGGAACAACAGCAAAGGGAGTTACTAAAGTCACTAGAGTAACATTACTCTAGCAAAAGGTATATAAGGAGGCCAGTTTGGCCCTCAAAGGATAGTTTTATCAACTTAAGTTACCTAGTACTTAGAAGTACTCTACTACCAACCTACTAGGCTACACTTGCAGCTTGACTAAAGTAGGACACCTCTACCCTCTCACACTACAAGTCTACAAGTCTTACTCTCTATACTCTATTCTGTTACTATTCCTAAGGATTAGGACTAGTAAAGTGAGTATATCTTACAAGAACCACTCTACTCTCATAGGACTCATAGTTTATCTCCCCTCAAACTTATTAACTCACTTGTGTTCCTCTTTAGATACATTACAGGAGTTTCAGTAACACTCTGTTAATTCTTCCTAGTCTTAACAGGGAGATGTGTTCTCTAAGTTGATAGTACTCTTAAACTGCAAATGTAGACCTGCAGCCCTTAAACCAACTATATTTCCAAAGCTACTAGCTAGGATTTATGCTAGGAGAACAAGTAGGAATACAAGAAGAGTTAAAAAACTAAGGAACTACTGTATCTACAGGCTATTTTTTATAATAACTAAATAACAAGAGTAAGGTAAGGAATGAAACTTGAGAATAAGATTAAAGAAATAATAAGAACAATCATTACAGAGCAAACAGGTGTATCAGAGGCTAGGAAGAATTAACAGAGTGTTGCACATTAGAGAATATAGGCTAAGAGGCTATTGTACAAAAGAGGCACAAGTTACTATATTGGGCAAGAAATGGATTGGCTGTACTATAAAGTGAGCACTCAGTCCTAACACTGTGCCAAGCACATGAGACATTTATTTAAGATGTTGACAGCAAACTCCTAATGACCTAGACTAGTCAGCCATCTGCCTGATAGATAGTAATGACTAAGTTGAAGCAAAGGTTACAAGATATAAGACAGTAGGTGATAACGTTTATAGGTGTGAACGAGAAGTTTGACAGGGCTGGTTCAAATAAAAGAACTGTCGCTTAGAAAGAGATTCCCATATACACAATAGTCTAATCCCACACTGAAAAGAGATGCTCTACACTGTGTGCCGAATACAATTCTCCGAAGATGCATTATCAAAAGCTCCTTTGAATAAAGAGACTGCCCGATCTGGTCCTTTGATGGGAAGGTGGTCGGACGGGTAGGTGCCCTCGCTGTGAATTTGCAGTCCATCACGTACCGGACCATCGCAGTCCAAAACAACAACGTTGACATTGTCATAGTGGGCTTTATCAGACATCCTGTGTTCGTCAATAAAAGTGGCTGTTTCACCATCTGAGACATTGTCCCATGGATCAGTGTTCGGATCCTCGTAACGACCAATAAATGACTGTGCATCCCTAAGCCAGTTATAAAGAAACGCTGATTGTTTGTGTTTCTGGGGGGCTACACTTATGCCGCAGGTGCTGATATCATTCACAGTCGATAGACATCCTCCTTCGGAAAAATCAACACCGTCGACACTTCCCTTGTCAAGCACCATGTCAGATTGTCTTGCTGGCCCAGTACCACCTGCTTGCAGACCACCCGATGTCGAATCTTTGCCAGGTCGTCGGCTCTTCTCGCTACGCCAAGGTCTTTTGAATGCAGCATTGAGCAGCTTCGACCTTTGTGCCATGACGTCACTGTCCCAGTGCTTGAACTCATTCTCCAGCCATCGAGATTGGAATTCTGAAATCCTGCACAGAATGAAATAGCTCTCAAGAAGGTCTGGAAGAAAATTAAGGGAGTAGGGTCGTTGTAAGATTGGCTGTACACACTTCAATGCAAGGATAAGTGTCTCAGCTAGGAGCTGGCAGGAAAAACTGAGAAAAAAAATAAACACACCAGCTCATTGCCATCCCAGTAAGACACCAAAAAGGTAAGAGTTCCTCGATTTAAGATAGTCCCGAATACAGGACCATCTCTGCAGCACAGGGTGCATCGTTGCAGTTGAGCAGAGTAAAAGTCCATGGTGATTTGGCGAATTGCTGTGTCGAAATCATCTACCTTTGCTTCAAAGGCGGAAGTAATGATGGAAAGCGTGATGCTGGTCGAGTAACTCCATCGGAATATGAAATCATTTGGCACTGCTTCGACTATGTTTTGCCAACGTTCCGGAAGATCCTTGCTCGTAATAGCGTCAGCTACGGCTTTGTTAGGTTTGCCAGGTAATACAAGTTCCATTTCAGGTCTATCATATGGATCACCTAGGTTAGAATGCAAGAAGTATCTTAGGAAGTAACTTACTGCCAAACGTGGTCAGAATTAGGGCGCAGCTCGAACGCCACTTCAATAATGTTGTCGACGCTCTTTCTGCAACCGGATTCGTTTTTCTTTCTCCTTTTCGTATTGATAAATGACTTCCACGAAGCACATAGATGCGGGAACCACCCTCTGAAGTTGTATCGATCAGTGTCTTCGAGTTTCTCCGTACAAATATTCTCAATCCAAGACCGGATATCCTCGACCGCGCCCTCGCTTACATCGCCCATGCGTTGCAGCAGTTCTACAATCTAGCAGCCAAGTTAATTATGACAATGAGTGAGGAACGAGACGCACCTTTTCCCTTTCATCCTTGAGAACGTTGGGATATTTGCAGTTCTTCATGAAATCATCAAACTCTTTATTTTCCCAATAAGCCTGATTGTCGAATGGTCGAATTTTGTGCTCTTGAGACCACGGTGTCCATGTCCGATCATTCTTAGCCATACTAAGTCGGTGTCAGTACGAGCTCAAAATCATGCAGTAGGACTTACTCAGAGGCAGAAGTATTCACGGAGCGATTGGACCTTGTGGATGGCCCTTGAGAAGGATGCGTTGCACCAGCATCAGAGTTCACTTCAATACCTTCAAGCAGATGTCTGTGTATAAGTTCAGTACGAATGTCTAAGTATAGACATGAAATACGTACTCCTCTGGCATACTACCAAAATACAAGGACGCATCAGCAACAGAGCGGCATTATGGGTCAGATGCAACTCACGATTGCAATGTTGGCGGGACTTGGGACCTACAGTGTAAAGATGATTTAGGAATAATATTTAATGGCAGGAGATGAAATAAGGATTCACCGTCGTAGCATCCCCGAATGCATAGCATTAGACATAGTGGCTTGACTTCAACAGAAGGTGCTTGCATCATCATCAACGTGAAGAGGCTCGGCCGGACCCGTGACGTCACGTGACTGGCATTTAGGCCACTGAAGAAAAGCCGACTATTTGAAAGCCCGATGTCTTTGTGCTGCAAGAAGGGGGTGCAACTTAGGGTTCGAGGGCTAACTCCCGGAGAGAATTACCCCCTGAGGTTGACTGCAGGAAGAGATGGGGAGCAGTTAGCAGCGAGGTTAACCTCTGTGGCCAATAATTTGAATAAAAGACCTGCAGAACTATTGCTTAGAAAGAGGTTCCCACGTTGAAGTTCTCCGCTCAGCGCTCTGCACAGTGCACAAAGAATGACATTATCAACATCGTGCGTATATTCACTCAGTTCATTTTCAATGTTCGATCGAGAGTCTCGTTATCCTAACGATCTACAACAGAGTTGAACCCGTTTCTCCTGACTCGGACGATTACCGAATTGTCCATCTTGCAGAGACCGTGGAAATGAAGCGCCCGCTCATTCAGCTTTTACCCGCATCACTGCAGCAAGCAGACCAAGCCAAGTAGTTTCATGGGACACAAAATTGGGTGTATTTAAGCAGGATCAAGGAGCCGTACTAGTAGCTGAATGCACCACGTCTATCCACTTGATGTTGTAGTTGATGTGCTATATACATCGGAAATGTCTTCTGAACGTACTTATGCACTGTATATTTACTGCTTAGAGCTTATCAATAAGAAAAGGACATTCCACGTGAAAATAATATTCATTATCCAACCTGCGGACAGAATGTGGAATCTATTTATAATTTAATAATTTATATTTGATTATCAAGATCTCCAATCAACTTAGATTCAATTACGTTAAGTCTGTCGTTGACTCTTGACGGCCATGGCAGCAGCATTGCGCTTCAAACTCGTCTTCTTCTGCCCTATCAAAAATACCTCAGAAGTTCTCGAGAAGCTGTTCAAGTCACATCCGACACATGTTGGTAGACTCGGGGAATATGAATGTTGTGCTTTCATAACACCTGGAACGGGTGCGTCCACGTTGGTTTGTCTGTCAATTGAACTTCATTATATGCACTGTGTTACAGGACAATTCAAGGCTCTAGGTTCTGCCAGCCCACACATTGGCTCCATCGGGCAACTCGAATCAGTCAAAGAACATTGGGTGGAAGTGTTAGTGAAAGATGAAGGACAGAACGAGCAGATCCGTGGAGCTGTCAATGAACTAAAGAAAGTACGCATCGGACTTTACAGGAGAGGGAGAGATATGAGATTTTGATTGACCTTCTCTTCAGGGAATATAACATTACTGCAAATATCGATAGGCACATCCATATGAGGAGGTTGCATACGAAGTATACCGAATTGAGGATTTCTGAGAAAGAAAGGAAAAGGAAATTCAGTGTACAGGGATACCATCTCTGCACAAATCAAAATTGTAAGAATATGGCCTTCCTCAAATAATACACACGGATCCTTCATTTTGGCATTTATGGACTGCTACAATGCACAGATCACTCTTTCATGGATATCTCTACTACTCAAGTTGTGATCAAGATGAGCTTCCTACATTGGTTTACATACATACTAAAGTGTGTGAAGGTTCATACTATCCAACAGCAATTTTTATAAAGGTATTACTGCTGCCCATTATAGTTGTAGGCTTAAGGTTTGGACACAGTGGACAGCTCTGGCACAACATGGTGCAACTTTCAACAAAACCTACTCTTTGCACTCACACAAGTTAGAGCCACTATTGTTTTGGCTTTACAAAAGCTGTAAGTTATCCCATAATTTGAATTTTCAGATAACAAAAGGCCTTCACTCTGACTCTTCTTTGGACCCTTAGGTTGGCATAGTGCTCTGTACATAGTGTATATGCTTACGTGTGTAAATTCTCTAATGTATACACATACACATGTAAATGTAGAGTCTGGGGGAGCTATACAATACACTAGTAGTGTATACAGTGTATACAGCATATATGCTTACAAAGAAGGTATATAGGTAGTGTAGTTACTATAGACATTGAATATAACTAAATAGACTTGTTCACTGCCTTCAAAGTATGCTTTACCATCATCAAGTCCCTAATAGTTCCAGGGTGAAGGCTTGAACAACAAAAAGCAATAGTATCTTGTCCAGATAAGAAGATCCGTTCAACAGCAACAGAAGAACCTGTAAAACAGGCCTGAATATTATTTGAAAATGATGCAAAGAACAACATACCTGGAATACAATGTATATCCTGAGCAAATAGTGATAGTAAAGGAAACTGAGCACATTGGCCAGCCTACCATTTGACAGGGTCACAGTCTGTCTATGACTGTTCCTACTTCATGGAGAAGTACTCCTCAAGCTCAGTGTTACTGTTTGATGGCTCATTGGTGGAGAAAAGACTCACAATATCATGTACACCTGTTTCAGTGTTGTCCATAAGAGCATCTGAAGAGATTGTATCACCTTGATAACAAATAATGTAAGTTGAATGAAAATGTTCCTTGAGTGTATGCTTTGCCTTGTCAATGAGTTGTAGCAGTCAGGCATCACTGATAGTATTCTGTTTCATTCCAGAGTATGAGATATGAGGGTCCAAGACTAAGGATATAGACAAAAGTATAAGTACTGATGAGTAAGAGTAAGGTAACAACTTATGTGTAGCCTATAAGTAATAAGGTGATGCAACAAACCAGGTAAGATAGTCAGCAAGTTTCTTGTGTGCTGTACATAGTAGGTGACTTCAATTAATTGGCAGGAGCACTTGCAGGACAGTTGGAAAATTTTGGGGTGGCTCAGCAAAGTGGACGTACCTTAATATATACCAAATAGAGATGTAAATCTGTGCAACTCTCTGCAAGTTTCTGCAAGTGCTCGAACCCACTTGTTGGCACTTGCAGACACGTCGGAGTTTGAAATAAAGAAATGTCTGACTACAACCCAACAAAAATCATGAGTAATGTGACATGGGCATTAAATGTCAATCTCTGCAAGTCCAGCTCTTCAATTTTGAGAGACTTGCATAACTCTTGGCATCTTAACTCTAAATTGCTGAAGCCCTTCTGCAAGTGTCTCTGCCAATTAATTGAAGTTGCCTAGTGCATCTTTTAGTTGTAGTGGTGCAGTAGCAGGAAAGTCTTGTATTGCTTTGTAGAGACTGTTCTGGAGGTGTAAAAAGTACCCATATGCTGAAGATAAGGTAGGAATCTTTGTAGCTGACATAGCAGTCATTACACATCAGAAATGATGAAGCCAAGATGATACTGTTCAGTGAATGTGTAGGAGACTGTGACTACGAAAAAATTCACTCAGTACAATCTAGACATCAAGTATTTGCTTGAAAGTATATATAACCTATCCCATTTCAAGCTACTGTGCTAAGATTGATTTGAATAAGTCAGACCTTGCAAATATTACATCAGAAAAATATTACCAGCTACTGTATCCTACCAGATCTAGGGTCCAATTGTCAAGCTGATCACCTTTGTCATTGTACTACTCAAATCTATAATCACATTGTTAGCTTTTTCAAGAGTGGTTAAACTGTTATAGAGCTCTTGTGAGTACCAAGAGACAGTATAGTCTACAAATTTGAGCAAAAAGCTACTAAGACTGAGGTGAGCATAGCTGTAAGACAGATGATCACAGATCTCATAAGGGCATTGCTGATGAAAAGATTATCTTGATAGGTACACAGCACATTCTGAAGAAACATATCTATATGGGGAAAAGATACCTAGAAACAACAAGGATTACACTAGACACACATAATCAGTCTCTGAACCAATTGCCTATAATGTGGCTCACCTAGACAAAAGAAATCCTTGCAGACATCTTCATACAATGTTACCTACTTCTTATCAAGCATCTATCTTGTTTAACAGATGCTTGATATTACTGAAAGCAGCAGGAGGAAGTAGGACACTAAGGTAGGGAAAGTATAAACTCAACCAACCTCATGTAACCTTAATTGCCTTTTTTGGCCTCACACTTAGACAACAAAATACTATCTTCTACACACTACAAATTAAAAATGTAATTCTATCAAAATATTTGTATTTAAAGTAGCTACAAATTGATGGTTTTATTTTTCAAAAATATTAGAAAATGCCTGACTTATTTCTAAAAGAAGCTTTTTTTGACTTAAACACTCTAGAATGTCCTTAGCAACATTCTGGCAAGAAAATAACTTTTTTTGAGTTTTTAGGTTTTTGATTTTTGCCACCCTCAGGTAACCATAATATTACAAATAATCGCCTTATTTGGTATATACATAATCATTAGTCATCATTACAGCATCTATATCCACATGACTTCTGTACACTGCCAACACAACTCAGTCAATAATGCCCTGCTGAAAGAAAGTAATACAAGCTAGAACACAAAACCTGTATAGTAAAGGAGGAGCTGTAAGTTAGCTCTGAGTGATTCATGAAGAAAAAAATTAAAGAAATTACTTACAGTCCAGGAATGAGGACAATGTTGTCCTTATTAACAATATTCCAGACAACATTTCAGACAGTGATGAGGACTCTTTAGGAGGGAGGGAGGATGTTATCTCTATTACAAGTAATCAACTTGTGGATAGTAATAATGATACAGATATTGAGACAGAGGACATACTTGATATACAAGGTGTACAAGCTATCTTTCAGTCTCTGACAGACAGCCTCTCCTCCTGGCTAGCTTGTATAAAGGCCCAGGCACAACCAACTAAATACAAGAAAGTTAGTCTTACTACACAAAAGCCAGGACATACCTAGTAATATCAGAGAGCAAAGGCTAAGAAGGAGGCATCAAAACTTTGCTAGTAAGGATACAGTAACATACATACCTTCTTCCAGCCTGTACTAAAGCTGACAGTCAACACCTCCATTCAAGCTGAACCACTATCTTTGCCCACCTCTATGAACAGCTTGTCCAGTCTAGTAACAACTCCCTCACACAGTAGGCATGACTAGCTCAACACTCAGCCCTAATCTGAAGGCAAAGATGTGGTAGTGCTAGTCAACAAGAATCAAACCAAACACTCACACATTATCTGCCCTGAGTCAGGGAATGAGTCCTTAGGCACAGTCTCAGAGCCAATTTCACCTGTATTATACACTAATGACCAGATTAACACATTGTACACCCAAATCCATGCCTTCAGATCAATCCAGCAAGGCATCCTGATCCTTAAGCACATTCAAAACACATTACTCCTACAGGCTGGTCAGGAGTTTTCAGTAGCAGACAATGTTAGCAACAAAGTACTTAGCTCTAACATTACTACTAGCTACAATCTAATGGATCTCTGTCATAGTGCTCAGGCAGCTGTTGAGCAAGCTGCAACTTTGCTTCAGAGAAGAAGGCATGCAATTGTTACAAGCAAGGAAATTGCACAGGTTGTATCCTTCTTTACAAACAGTAATATGTATGTTGGCAATCTTATTACATCTGCCATAGATAAGGGAAGTAGGGAACACATTATTGTAGTCAAGGAAGGATGTATGATTAAGGATACAATTGAACTCACAGATGGATTATGTCTTGATTCTGGGTACATTTTACTACATTTCAACCTGGACGTCAAGAGCCAGAAGGTTGAGCTCAAGAAACTACTTATCTTGTTGTCAGAGAAGAGGCTATCCTAGCAAGAAGATGTACACTCATCAATCATTGTAGCAGGCCAAGCATGTTGACTGCTTCTCATTATTACTGAAGATGTGGTTGAGGAAGCTCTCACAGCATGCATACTGAACAAGTTCTGTAGTCAAGTAGTTGTAATTCAGGTGCACAGTATTGCTGAGAATTGCAAGAACATCCTTAGAGACCTTGCAACTCTCACTAGTGGTACTGTCTTCTCAGATAGGAGTGCTAGCAAATTGTATCAAGCAACACTGTATTGTCTTGGCTTGACTGGGTCTGTGACAGTTACAAAGGAGTACACTGTTGTTGTTCACAATGACAGCTTGAAGGATGCCTTCCAGGTGCACTGTGAGCAGATTCACTCTGTACTGAACAATCTGACAATAAGCAAATATGATAAGACTAAGCTCTACAAGCAACTTGTGAAGCTCTCTGGTAGAGTTGCTGTAATTAAAGTCAGTGGTTCAAGCAAAGTAGAGGTGTGTAAGAAGAAGGTCTGTTACAAAGATATCCTCAATACTACACACTTAGCCATTGAGAAAGGTATAATACCTGGCAGAGGAACTGCTCACCTCAAAGTATCACTTTCACTCTATACTGTAATAGATTCCAGCAACACAGTCCTGCTGTTGTCTACTAAGCCTATCTCTACTACAAACTTTGACCAAGAACTTACTGTATCTGCTGCTCACAATACTTAGGGTCAGCCTGCATACACAATCCTCACAAACATAGGTGAGGAGTCATCTGTAATTACAGATTCAGAGTCAGTTACACAGGACTATAATGTAAGTAAAGGTCAATATGTTGACATGATCCTTTATGACAATACAGGGAGAGATACAGATACTGTTGATTGTCTTCAAGCACTAGGGTATACACATCATACAGCTGTAATGGCATTCCTTACCTGTAATGAAAATGAGGAGATGGTAGCAAATTACTTGTTTGAAAACATACCTGTTTCCTCCAGTGACCCTCTTGACAATGTGGTGGATGCAAGCAAGGAAGAAGAGGAGGAGGATGACAACAAGGATGAGTATGAGGAAGAAGAAATGGGCAATGAGACACAATGTACTGTACTGAAACCACTCTCTAAACATACAACTCTATACTGTTCAGATCCAGCCCTCATGAATACAATATAGTACTTTCACTGTATATTAAAGCAAAAGGGCCTTAATGTACTATTTCACAGCCAAATAATAGTAATGCTTACCTTCTTGTGTCTATATGTTAGAATAGAGGGTCTTTCTTAGTATGAGGCCTCTGTCTAAGCTGTATACCTAGCTGACAGTCATAGCATTCATTTGTCCCAAAATCTGTAATGCTAGGTTAGAAAACATCTTAGCAATCATGTTTACTATCTAGTAAACCTGTATAGTACATGGAAGAGGTTGATAATCAGTGACAAGGATTTTGCAAATGAGATACATGAGTACTTACAGGGTCTGGACAAGAAGTATTTAATGTCTTAAGATGTTCAGAATTACCTGAACCAACCAGCTGTTTTAGCCTGCATAAATCAAACAAAGCCTATTTCTCTTCAGACTGCTCAGAAATGGATGAAAGTAATAGGGTACTAGTATCAGAAAGAGCCAAACAGAATGTACATTGATGGACACAAGAGAGAGGATGTGGTTTCTTACCAGCAAAATGTCTTCTTACTATGCTGGGAGAGGCTGGAAAAGGAGATAAAGCTGGCAGAAACAAGCTCTATTTCTCAAGGCCAGCTTATTCTAGTGACCCATAATGAATCAACCTTTTATACTAATAATCAAAGGAAGATTAAATGAGTACATTCTAGTGAAGATGCAAAACCTTAAGCTAAGAGTGATAGTGCATCAATTATAGTATCTGATTTTGCTACTCCTCAGACTGGATGGCTTAAATCTATGGATGAGTATAGTATATTTCTTCAAATTCACTGTATTAATATATAACTGACTGTGTCTTTTAGTTCTAGAGAGGCCTGAGTGTATTTCAGGGCTGGCAAGAATAAGGAAGGGTACTTTACTCATGACAACCTTTATTAGCAAGTCTTGACTACTATTAATATCTTTGAAGACTGATTCCCTGGCTGTAAAGCTCTCTTTACATTTAATAATACTACATCTCATTAGAAGAGAGCTCCTAATACTCTTTCTACACATTATATGCCTAAGAATCCTGGTTGGCAAGCAAGGGAGACTTCTGGAGCACCTCCTATGTGTCCTAGCACTCTATCTGATGGCTCTTTACAGTCATTATATTTTCCTCACAACCATCCAGCTTACCCTAGTAAATTCAAGAGTATGGCTCAAATCCTTCAGGAGAGAGGGTTTAATGTAGAGAATCTACTAGCTCAATGTCCAGGGTTCAAATGTAAGGACTGGTCTACTCAGGCTATGTGTTGTTACAGGAGGATTTTATTCAATCAATCAGATTTCTGTGGTCAAAGGTCTACAATTGAGGAGTTGGTAGAGTATAGAGGGCATATGGTTATATTTTATCCTAAATTTCATTGTGAGCTGAATTTTATTGAACAGTGCTGGGGATATACAAAGTATCATTACAGAATGATGTCTAAACCTGGTAATAGTCAACAAATGGAAGAGAATATTAAAAACTGTCTCAGTTTCATATCATTTGACTTGTTCAGAAAGTAAGTATCTTTTTCAAATATTTATGTATGTAGTTTTATTGAATTTCTTTTATAGGTTTGCAAACTGGTCAGCTAGATTCATGGATGCATACCAGAAAGGCTTGACTGGCAAACAAGCTCAATAGGCAAACCAGAAATACCATGGTTATAGAGTACTTCCTGATAATATTTTAGCTGACTTATAAGTGTAAACACACAATGTACTTTCTACTTGACATATTTAAAAGCTTTTACAATTTTTCTTGAGACTGAGACAAAAAATCATATCTTCACCACGATTTTTGCTGCTAGGGTCCTTCCTAATGGAGTAAGTGGCTGTGTATTCAGGGTCGCGCACGTGATACCTTGGGTTTGTTGAGTTTATACTTTCCCTACCTTAGTGATGGAGTGAGAGACAGTCAGGGGGTGAGAGGAATGCTAACTGCACATATTATCATACATACAAAGTTTGAGTTTAAGGGCAGGTACAAAGAAGCAACCTATCTATAAAAGGCTGTTGAATTGATTGACATCAGATTAAATAGGGAGAACTGCTGATCTCCTAGGTCTCTTGTGTACTGTGTATATGTTGTATACACTGTATACAGGATTTTTTGGGGCAAAGTATATGCATACACACATATTTTCAGCTCCAAAAGTCATTTACAATACACTACATAACTGTATACACTGAAGGTGTAACTGTAAATTACACTACAGTGCAGAGCACTAGGTTGGCAAAGGCACATGCTACTAGTACTTCTTTAAGCACTAATGTCTTCAACACTGTATAAATTCTTGTTATTACATATACCTCTTAAGACATTCTCAGCACAATTCTATTATCATATCCTCAAAATGGACATGCCTGATTGCATGCTGGTTTGTTTGTATAAGCCTCTCATTCACCAGACCAAGATATATGGCCTTCCTGTGCCTATCTTTTGCATGTGTAGGATGCCCAACAAGTAACAAGTTGTCTCAGCATGGATGGTCTACAAAGATTTCAACAAGGCTTTCAGCATTAATAAAGGCTGGGAAATCCCTTCTACACCTCTTCCTTGTCCATACAAGATTTGTGAAGTTGTAGGAAAAGGTTGCAGCATGGTGGCATTGTGTAAGGTATCAAAGGGAGAAGTCATTGTGCACAAACTTCCACTCATCATTACAGCCTGTGTGATTACTTGCATTCCTAGTAACATATGGGTTGTATTGGATGCCAGATTGCTGCAACTGCTCTATTGGTTGGAGCTGGAAGACTGTGCTGTGTATCTTTTGTTGCACAATTGCAAGCCTGTCAACAAGTATGGTCTGCACATTAGTATCCACCTTACTAATACAATCAGACTTAGTTTCTCAGAGTCCAAGATTTGTACACAATATACTGTAGTCTGTTGTGAGATATTGCTAGTCAATCATAGGTGAGTATATGTGTGTGCATCAGCTTTGATACAAAGGAATAAACCACATCTCTGTCCCTGTTGTGTAGCTGCTCACCAAACACAGGCCAGAATAGTGACTCAAGAACACTCATCTGTGACCTTTGTGTAGAGCATGACATTGCTCCAGGCAAAGAAATCACTATAGCCTACATTGACACTGTACGTCCAACTGCAGAAAGAAAAGCAGAGCTTAAAGTCAAATATGGCTTCAATTGTACCTGTTCAGTATGCACCAGTTCATCTCACAACCCTGCAAGTGACGAACAGCGCAAGTTCATCTCTACTACACTGTCATCCCTCAACTCATCGTCATTGTTCGACAAATGGATGGAGATGCCCCTGCAAATCAGAAGCATGCATGCAAAACACAACATCAAGTACTACACTGACGTCCTGTGTACAATAGACAAAGAGCAACTTGGCACAACTGAGCATTAGGTTTCTTCTTAGGTTATCACACAAGAAGGAGTTTAGTGACAGACTCCTTGTCTCTCATTGTTTATTGAAAGTATTTATAAGTAAACTAATGTCTTAGTTACTCCTGAGACTGTCTGTTTGAGACATTTTGTCATAGTAAGACATTATACATCTTAACACTCCCCTTCAAACATTTACTAGTCCAAGTCAACTTGTAAGATGTTTGATTTACAGTACATGAAGTGCTTTTGTCATTATATCTGTAATTTGTTTGTTTGTCTGTATGTACTTTGCATTTATATATTGTAATTCAACATAGCATTTAATAAAATCTTTCTTATAATCTAAATACTTTGTTTGTTCTGAATATTTAATTTTGTCTGATGTTACTGTTTTAATAACAGTATTGTTATTACAATAGATATTAATAAGCACTTTAGAGACCTGCAGAATCTCTTCAACTATATCAGGAAAATTCAAACTACAATAGATGTCTATATGGTCATTTATAGTAAACATAGTAATATTGTTAGAATGCTTAGTTCTTAGGTTATTATACAGGTAATGAGGGTGTTGACCCTGATAATGATATGTATTTAGTTAATAAAGTGTTCCTTTTATATTGTTCGTCCGTCCGTATGTCTCAGTTATCTGGAATATGTTTTTTATCTGATACATGTCTTGTATTGTGTATCCAATACATGCATCTGACACATGTATCTGTTCCACTATCATTAGTATTATCAGTTTACTAATACTATATCGTCTGTAAGACATGTTAACAGTCCCCTTCAAACATTTACAAGACCTAGCAAGTCTGTAAGGTGTTTGATCTTTGGAACATGCAATGCTTTAGTCAGGATGTCTGCCCTTTGATTGTCTGTTTGAACATACTTTATATTAACAAGTTGTTCCTCAATGTAGCATTTAATAAAATTGTGCTGTAAGCCAATATGCTTTGTTCTTGTTGAGTACTTTGTTTTGTCTGCTTCTATAGATTTAATTACTGCTTGGCTATTGTAATAAATATTCATAGGTGCATCAGAGATCTGCAGTATCTCATCTGCTAGGTATTGTAATGCTATAGCATCTTGTATACTGTTCAATAGTGCTATTAATTCTGCTTTGTACATAGATAAGGATACTAATTTCTGTCCTTTACTTGACCAAGATATAAGTGATTCTGCTAAGAAGAATGTGTATTTGGATATTGCTTTATTATTTTCTTACATCATACTGTCTGTGTCTGTATAACCAGTTATGGAATCATGATTTCCTCATCTGAATATTAACCATTTGTCTTTGGTTCCCTTTAAGTATTGTATGTAATGCACTACAGTATTATAATGTAACATGCTCAGGGATTTTAAGTATTTTGCAAGTAGAGATGTTATAAACACTATGTCTAGTTATATACAATCCACTATATATTGTAAGGATCCAACCATATTCATATACAGTATTTTGGACATAAATGTGTGTTCATCTTCTGGTAGATTATTGTCTGTTACTAATAGCATATTTGGTTGCATAGGTGTTTGCAAATTCTTTTTGTTTTGTAAGTTATATTGAGTTAATACATTCTTAATATAATGTCTTTGTCTCATCATTATTGTCTGTTTGTTTCTGTTATATTTGATTTCTATACCTAGTAACTAATGTAATTTGCTACTGTCTGTAATTTCTATATACAATTGTAATGATTCTTTAATCATATTAATAACATTATTACTTTGTACAACAATAGTTATATTATTAACATGAATTAATAATACTACAACTGTCTGTTTGTCCTTCTTTGTGTAGAATACTGTAAAGTCATGTTCTGATTGTATAAAACCAATTGTCAGCAACAGTATAGAGGGGACCTAAAGGCTCAGCAAGGGGACCCAGGCTACAACTATCCTACACAACAGAAATATAGGACATGAGTACTAGAATATAGTCAGAACTTGCAGAACAGGCAGAGAGAGAGAGTGAGACAAGAGTAGGGTATATAGAGTGAGCCTAAGAGTACAGGACTACCTGGAGTAGACAAGATCAAGACTACAGGACCAGTCTGATCTTGTACACCTATATATACTAAACTACACAAGAGCACTCAGAGAGTATGAGCTACAAAGAATGAAAGAAAGGGGAGGTCAAAGATAAAGGTACAAAGAATGAAGGGATGGACAAAGGGTAAGAGACTATAGAATGAACAAAGAATGAAGGGGTGGTCAAAGGAATGGAATGATAAAGTAAGGAAGGGTAGTAGTAAGAGTCAGCATACATATAGTCTATAGATAGTGCCCCTAAGGGACAGAAGTCCTGATTTCTAGTACAGAAGGGTGTAGAACCCTTAGAACTGAAGGTACAAGAGTAGAGAACTATAACATCACCCCCCCTCTAAAACCAATTGTCCTAATTGGTGAACATAGGGCTTAGTTAGCAGCTTAGGCATAAGTTGGAACAGTAGGGCTTGGAAATCTGTAAGGCTGAGTTTGTACAGAGCACCAGGATGAAGCTGATAGAAGTCTTGGATTACCTTAGGAGTATAGGCAAGGTTCTTGGCAGATTCCCAAGTGTGCTCCTCAACTGGGTACCCTTTCTAGTAAACAAGGAATTTGAGTTTTCTGTACAGCAGCTTAGTATCTACTATGTACTCTACTTTGTATTCTGGTTTAGAGCTAATGAGTTCTAGTAGAGGCAGAGGAGGTCTTTGTTGTAAAGGAAAACCAGGATTGTAGTACTAAAACAATAGAACCTTATTAAACACTAGGTGTATACACTTCCATATTGTTGGAAGTTAGAGTTTGTAGGCAGAGGCACTAACCTTCTTTTCAATAACAAAGGGTCTAAAGCACTTGTTGTCCAGCTTCTTCATTAGGCAATCTAAGGTCAGATTAGTAGCTTCTAGCATAACCTTGTTACCAGGCTAGTAATCCTTGGCTACAGACCTCTTCCAATCATAGTTCTGCTTTATAACCTGTACTGTCTTCTCTAAAAGAGCTTGTGCATCCTTCCTGGTTCTGTGCATCTGTTCTACAAAGTCTGTTACAGATTCAGAACTACTGTTCTGGTTCAGAACTGTCCCCTAGTACAGATGTCTCCTATAATTGAGGAAGAACAGGGATTGTCCTGTTGTAGAGTGTTGCCAGTTATTGTGTACAAATTCTGCCAGAGCTAACCATTCAGACTAATCTGATTACTGATGATTGATAAACATCTAGAGGTAGAGCTTGATCTCCTGATTAACTCACTCAGTTTGACTGTCAGTCTACAGGTAATATGTAGTGGAAGGGTTCCCTTGAATTCTGAGAAGCATATACAAGTTCTACATGAATTTTGACTCAAATTACAGTCTACAATCATGAATGAGCTTCTGAGGGAGTCTGTACAACTAGAAGACATGATCCTGATAGATACACACCATGCCTTCAGAAGTGAGTTCTGTTCAGGTTGGAACTGTGTGGACTTGTTTAGAGAATCAGTCAACAATCATACAGATAGTATTATAACCCTAAGACTTAAGTAGCTTACTAATCAGGTCTACTAAGACTTCTTCCTAAGAGTGATCTAGGATCTGATACAGATGTAGGGGAGTCTAAACCCTTGTCTGGTAGACTTTAGTCTGTTAGCACATATTGTAACCAGTCACATACTTCAGGATTTCCCTCTACATTCCTGACTACTAGTAGTTCTGAGTAATGAGTTCCTGCATTTTGTATTAGCCTAAATGTCCTACAGTTGGATTGTTGTAATAAGCTCAGACAATGTCCTCCTACAGCTTCCAATCCTTCAGAACATACAGTCAGCCTTCCTAGTAAACCTGTCTATCCTCATCCTCCTCCTAATCCCTAGCCTGCTTCTCTAGCTACTTTACTATAACCTGGTCCTGTGTGTGTCTCAGAGCTTACTGTATGTGAGTGACAAAGTTGACATTCTTGGATTTGAGTCAGATCTCTCAGATTGTCTCAGACACAAAACAGGAATTGTCTAGGAGAATAAGATTTTTGTTATCATTCTCCCCCCTTTCATAACCTACTTGTCTTAAGAGTAAATTAGCTTTCATCATTTGTGTTCTAGGTTTGCAGGTCAGTACAAAGTCAAAGTCCTACAGTTCTAACATCTAGCAGGCTTGGCAGTAGTTGAGCTTCTGAGGCACTCAGAAGTACTAGAGATTAAGGTGATCACTCTAAATCTCAAACTTCTGTACAACACTAAGGAGATATTGACACTACTCCTCTAGGGAACAGACAATTGTAAGGAGTTCCTTGTCATAGATAAGGTAGTTCTGTTCTGTTATAGAGAGGGATTCTGATTGGAACACTATTAGACACTACTTTCTGTCAATGAACTAGGACAGTACTACTCCATTTACAAAGTTGGAAGAGTTGGCTTTGACTCAGAACTTGTCTGTAACTGTTGGAACTACTAATACAGGCTCACTAGTAATAGCCTACTTGAGGGACTCAAACACAGACTACTGCTAATCATCCTATTACTAAGGAACATCTTTGCTAGTGAGATTGTGAAAGGGTCAGACAATAGTACTAAAGCCTTGAATAAAGTATTAGTAGTAGTTTGCAAACCTAAGGAACACTTGGACCTGTTTCAGGTTCTAAGGTTGTAGCCAGTTCCAAACTACAGTTACCTTTGCTAGATCCATACAGACCTCTCCTCCACTGATTACAAAGCCTAGATAATCCACTGACTCCTGTACAAAAGAGTACTTTACTTCTCAGAGGAACAGTTTATTATCTTAGAGCTGTTGTAGAACTGCTCAGATTAGTTAGTAATAGTGCTCAACTGTCTAGGTGAAGATCAGAATGTTGTCTAGATACATACTAACATGCTCTGAGTCAATCAGATCTGTAAGGATGTGATTCATGAATGACTAGAATGTTGTAAGCAAGTTGGTTAGTCTAAAGAACATTACAGTTGGTTTGTACAATCTGTAATTGGTTCAGAACACAGCCTTCCACTCATCTCTGTCTTAGATCCAAATATTATTGTACCCTTATCAAATGTCCAACTTA